TTGTTTTGGAAAGAAAATTGGTTTTTGAGAAGTATGGATTTGAAAAAGCTACTTTTGGAAAAACTATTATCCAAAAGAAAGAAAAACTATTATTATCTTTAAATTTAGGTTGGCAAACTTTATAAGTAGCTTTATAAACATAATAATATAATATTCAAAAAATTCGAAAGTGACGATAATAATCTTGAAAGATTCTTGGTTTTAATTCCTCACACGAATGATTTGTATAACCTACTCTATCTACCACATAATATACCACATGCGACAAGTCAAAGAAAATAATACTGCTCTTAGTATTTTTGGTGGGTTATGTAGTTTATGGTTTAAAAATATTGGCATATATCGACCAAAAAATAAACAAAATTATTGGCATAGTACAGGTGAAGAACATTGAAGCACTTGCGCACACCGTTCAGATCTGCTAAACAAACCTAAATTTTTTTGCCTAATTGGATTTGTATTTTTGTAACTACTTATCCAACTACTCGAATAGAACAGGATTTCGAAATCGACATCAACCTTATATTTCACGTTTTGTATATAATGAAATATGATTTACAGTTCTTTTCTACGAAAACTCAGTAGCCGTTTCTTTAAGCGCTTGTTCCAGCGATCGGAGTTATTCCAATATATTATATATATGCGCATATATGTACAGTAAAGATGTAGCATAATGGGATGCACATCTTCCATATGATTTTTTTTTAAAATGGGGATTTTAAACCAGTTAAGCTAATGTATCACATGACAATTATTTAACCTCTAATATTCAACAGTTGTCACTAGAGAAAATAAATAGTTGTAATTTTAAAATCAATCGAGTGTTTGGTTTTGATGATTTATAATTTGGTCATTTTACACTCAAGTTAATGTACAAGGTAAGCAAAATAGCTCAACAAGTAATTGACTATATTGAATTATTTTTGTTGTTTGGATGGTCGAATTCGTAAGAGGGGAACATCATGTCCTACTTCTATCGCTATCAATTACCAAACACACACAAAGAAAGTAGCATCTGGTCAAATTATCATATGTTTAAAACCATCATTATAATACTTACCAACCCAAGAGAAGTTCATTGAATCATCTTAAATGGAATTTTAATTTGATTTGACTTCCAAGATTGAGATGACTTGTCTCGAAGTCATGAATCATATTAACATGTTGGGTCGATTAGGATCAAGGCCTATTAAGTAGAGCCAATTTTAAACTCCCCTTACTAGGCCAAACAATCGAGATGGTTAAAGTATTAGGCAGGCTTTTGTATAAGTAGAGCCAATTTTTCTTTAAATTGTTAGGTTTTTGTTTGTTCTTCTTTTAGGCAGCCAAAAAGGTGAACGAAATACGTAGACAATGGAAGCTCAAAGAGTTAGCTAGTGAAGTAACAAACTTGTAGGATCCATCGCCTCTCGATCTGGCTTGTGATCAGTTTAAAGCATCTTTCTCTTCAATGGCAATGAACATCTAAGCAATAGAGCACACAAGTGATTCGATTATGCACCTAGAATACATTCGTTCAGAAATCAAATTGAATCGAGGGTATCCAAATCCATCACGATACAATCAAAATGCAATCAGGTTTTATAATTCGAAATCGAACTGTTATTTGATTGATGAAAGTCACTTACAACAGGCAAAACCAAGTTTTTAGTTTTTAACACCATTTTCTGCTTGGTAAAGAGGACATGGCGTTTAACTCGAGGATCGTACTTCAAACTGAATCAAGTGTATCCAAATCCATCACAATACAACCAAACCACACTCGGTTTTTATAATTCTAAATCGAAAAGTTATTCGATTGACGAAAGTAACTTACATTTTGGAATAATCACAACAAGCAAAAGCAAGTTTTTCTTCACTTCATTTTCTGCTCGGTGAAGAGGACATGACGATTAACTCGAGGATCGTACTTGCGAAACTCAAGCTTCTCAAGAAGTCCCTTGGCACTCTTCCTCTTGACATAGAAGAATCCAGTTCCAGCTGCTGAAACTAGACGAATGAACATGAACGTCTTCTTCCTCTTGTCACCCATCTTTAATCACACTTCAAAACACACAAGCAACTATGAGAATAGCCTCACCAAGAAACATTTTACAGTCTTTTTCACAAAAGCCTCATGAAACAGAGGGAATCAAAATGCTCCGATTGAACCTATAATCCGAAAATGCTCAAAAACTTAGAAATGAATATGTTTGTCTACATCGTACGGTACAATGGCTAATTTTTGAGATCTATGAAGCAGATAATAGATCTAATTCCGAGAATTCAGATAACTCCGGCACAAAAAATCGCAGGTCGAATACAAATTGAAACAAGGCAAACACTAGAAGAATCCTACCGAAGAGGTGAAATTGTTTCGAAACAGATCGAGATGTATCGGAATCGAAGAGGTAAGAAGATTTAGCGTACCTGGAAAATAGAAAGCGACGGAGTCCGGCGAAGGAGTGAGATTGATCGGTTTAACACTTTTCACAGAGAGAACAAAAACACCGACGACAAGGATGACAGGTGAAAAACCCTAAGACGAGAAATTGGATCTTCACTCTAATTGGGCTTTTAAAGTGAACTCAATATTTGGCCCATCAAAGCGGGATCAAAACGCAGCGTTTAATTACCAAAGCCTAGGGGTGGACAAAAA